GCTCTTGGCTGCTAACCGAAAAGTTAGATGCAAGTCCATCTAGAGGCACCTCGGAAGAAAGGCCTGGTGATCTACTTCTGAAAAATCAGATATTGAAAATCCTTTGAAGCACAGTTCTACTCTGACAAAAGCAGTTGCTATGAGTCAGAGTCAACTAGATGGTAGCTGGCTAGGAAGAAAAGAATCTAAGCCAGTGTTCCTAAAAGTATGGTCCGGAGACCCCTGAATGATCCCAAGAATCTTTTATGGAGTCCACAGATCAAAACTACTTATATAATAATATTAAAACAATGTTTGCCTTTTTCACTCATTCCCTCCTAAGTGCAGAGAGTATCAAAAGTTTATTGACACAGTTTCAGATTATACATTGTAACTAATCTTTTAAAAACTGCCATTTGTCGAGTTTTGATATAATATAAAAAATAATATGTAGAATTATCTAAGAAAGTTATTATATTCCTCCCTTTTTAAAACTACTTAGCTGTGTGAGGCCAGATTTTCTTCATATACGTCAACCAAAACAACATATTACACACAACTGACTAAATGCAGAAGCAGTTATGAGAATCCAGTTCTTTTCCAGAGATTTGTAAAAATGTGAAACAGTACTACCTTTTTTTGGAGGGGAGGAGGTGAATATAGGTATTTTCTTTTAAAAATAGGTTATTTAGGGTAACGATTTTATTATTTTTCAATGAATTAATATTTTTTAACATCTCAGTTTTAATTTTTAATACAGTAAGTATTGACAGATATAAACAAAACTTTTTGGGATCCTTGATTTTTAAGTGTGTAAATCATCCTGGGAGTCCCTGGGTGGTGCAAATGGTTAGCATGCTCAGCTGCTAACTGAAAGTTCAGCGGTTCCAGCCCACCCAGAGATGCCCCAGAAGAAAGGCCTGGTGATCTACTTCTGAAAAATCAGCTGTTGAAAACCCTATGGAGTATAATCCTACTCTGACACATATGGGGTCGCCATGAGTCAGAATCAACTCCACAGCAACTAGTTAAATGGTCCTGAGACCAAAAAGTTGAGAATGGTTTAGGCTGTCCTACTCTTGGTCTTTTGAGATCACAGAAACCACCAAGTGACACCCCTGCCTATGAAGAGGGCAGTAGTTGCCCATTTTACAGATTTACAGGGAGGGCTCTGCAATATATACTCTCCTGATGCAACCTAAAGCAGGAGTTGAGAGTACCTCTCCCCTCCCATGACTGTTACCAACCAGTGAAGTGGTTCCATCATGATAAATCTTGCATCTCTTTTTTCTTGAAATTCTAGGACCGCAGTCAGCCAGAGGTAACTGATAAATACTTCCATGATGTGCCTTTTGAGGCCCACTTTGCCTCTGAGTTACCTGATTTCCATGTGGTCAGCACCATGCCAGGAGTGGATGGATTTACTCTGAAAGTAGATGCACTCTACAAGGTGAGTTGGGTGAGAAGAATAGAAGCAGAGGGACAAGTCCACTTTAAAGGCTGCAGAAAGGATTACTGCATCATCTCTGGACTGCCAGTTTCTTTTTATAGCATTCTTGCTGGCAGGTGTTTTTTGTTGTTATTAAGCTTGTCACTCACCCAAAATTTTCACTGTCCATCCCCAATTGACCAAAGCAATGATAAAATTCTTTAAT